CAACTAGACAGATGAAAGAGGCAAGTAGCCAAGGCTAAATACAAAGAAGGAAAATTCATGAAGCTTGTGTTGTGTTCTTTTCTGATCCAATATTTTGAGAACAGTTGCTAGCTACCAGAGAAGTACCAAGGGCTGAAAAAGTTGTTCAGAAACAAAGGCTTAATCTTGACTTTAGTTGTTGGCAGATCCATGTTTGAGTGTGAAGAATAAGGCTAAGCTCCTAATCACAGCTACCCCAATAAAAGCCTGAATGTAGATGCAGTTATATTGCAAAAGTGTCCTTTGCCAAAACAGCTTATTCCATTTGGGGAAGTTGTTTGTGTTTTTCGCCTGTATGAACGCATCTCCACTGAGGTTTTATGGCAAACTCCTTAAGTACAGACAAGACTTAAACATTCCTTCCACAGATGAACTTCAAGAGGAATGACTAAAAGATACTCCATTAAGTAGCCACTTCAGTCATCCCAAAGCACCAGCAGTTTAAGCTATTTTTTTCTCAGCAATACACGTGCAATACATTCACCCTTTATCTTGCTCTTGACCATTTGCTGGTGGTGGCAGCTAAGGCAAGTTTCACTGTTCACACATGGCAATGCAGCTCATCCTTTATGCATCACTTCTCAAATGTCTTATTTTTTCCCATTGCTATCCTAGAAGCTACAAAAGCAAGAGACCTATTAAAGCCTCCAACAGCTTCAATGCAGGTTTAATTCTTTTTATTACAAGCTTTGGTTTTAAACACCAACCAAGGGGAGCACACATGGTATCCAGTACCCCAAATCCCTTACAAATTACTTAAGAAGCACTTATTTGACATACTCTATTTGGATGCAAATACAGCCCAGGGAGTTTCAACAGCACATCTGGTCTAATCCAGGAAGCACTGTTAAGTCACGTCAAGATTAATTTTCTTAAGGAAAAAAAAAAAAATTCTTTACATTGTAAAGGACAGCTCGAGCCAAAAAAAGCCCCAACATTATTTTGCGTATGGCCTAATATCTCACAGTTCTTTAGCAATTAAGGTCCAATCTGTCAGTGAAGCATCTTGCCCATGTATCTATCGCCTCTTCAGAAAGGACTTTCTTCTATTCCAGTCCCTCTGCAATTTATTATATGTGCAGAACCTATTTGCATCTTCCCCAAGAGGATGCACCACAGTATTTGCACGGCATTGAAGTCAAACAGCAAGTAATCTATTGCCATATTGTATGCAAAATTCTTACTCAACAGCGATTCCAAGATACCAAACTCTCTCTCTGTTTTAACTTGATCAACATTCGAATGTACAGTTTGCATATTAGTCTCAGGCAAGACAAAAACCCAGTCAGAAATAATATATATATAATTTTATTTCTGACTGGGTTTTTGTCTTGCCTGACTTTACTTGCACACTGCTTAAAAGCCAAACCTTGATTTTAGAAGGTGATAGAGCTCTCAAATCAGTGACTAATATGTAAACTGTATATGTATATATCCTGGGATAACACTCTCAGATAGATAGATAGATCTACATCTATCTATATTATCTATCTATCTATATTAAAATGAAAGCATTATCCCAGCATAGAAAAATTCTTAAAGGGACAAATCCCAATGGTTAGAGGTTGGATAAGAGGACTCTTTC